TACAGAATCATTTGTAAGAAACAGCTTTTGTAACACAGAAAGAGGTTAAAACTGACATTTGTGAGTTCTTCGAATCAAAGCCAAAAGAATTTTTACAGTAATGGAATTAGTAAGCTTGTAAATAGATGGAAGGAAGTCATAGATAATCGGGGAAAATACATTGTTGATTGAATCTGTAATTAAATGTAACATTTGGTCACTTGTTTTCTTCATTCAAAATTCGGACAGAACTTATGGGATATGACTCCTTGGCCTGTTCACCTTTCAAACTTAATCTCGACCATCTACCATGATGTCTCCGGGCGTTCCTAAGTATCTAGATGTGACTCCTTGGCCTGTTCACCTTTTCTCGACCATCTACCATGATTCTCATCTACGGCATCCGATTACGAATAGACATACACAGCATCAGTATCGAGAAAACATTCACAGCAGGCCAAAATCAGGCAACGGACAATGTGTTGTGTTGAACGGGATATTTACAGTAGCACATCTTTGGGCACCTTGAGGTGGCGTAATGGTTAGCAAGCTTATCTCGTTAGAACAATTACGACTGAGTAGTGAGTTCGATCCTCACTGGGTGCCCCATACTTTAGGCCTTGTGCCTAATTTAGGCTAGACTTAAAAAAACACCAGGGCAATTCGACGATGTGTAATGGTTAGCAAGCTTGTCTCGCTAGAACAATTACCACTGAGTAGTGTGTTCGATCCTCACTGGGTGCCACATCTAAGCTACACTTGGGAAATCATTTTCGATACCTCGGCGTGGTATAATGGTTAGCAAGCTCATCTCGCTAGAACAATTACGACTGAGTAATGAGTTCCATCCTCACTGGTTGCCGCATACTTTCGGCCTTGTGCCACATATAAGCTACACTTGGAAAATCATTTTCGGCACATCGGCCTGGTATAATGGTTAGGTTGATCCGGAAGTTCGCTTTCAAACCTCCACTGCATATTCGCTCTTCACAGGATATCAGTGGCAGACTGCAATAAGTGAATTAGTAGTACGTCCAACTATGCTTATGATGTTCACACGTCGGACAACAAAATGATAGAGTATCCTGAGTGTGTCAATTTCTCCAAGTCGTCATTCCTCATAATGTTTTCTACACATTTCAACGGTTTTCTTCTGATTATAAGTAGAAGTGTTCATAATGTTTTTCTGTGAGGCCTACGTTGTGGCTAAGATAGTTGCATTTTTTCAATCAGCCTCAGCTGGGTAGCGTTTAAATCAAACAAATGCTAACCCTTTAAATGCTGACTTTCAACAAAAGCTTTCTAAACATTCATCAAAAACAGTTTTAAAATTTCATTTATACTTCAATAATTTCACCCCAAACTAGGCAATACTGCCACTAAGATTCAAATGGTCAAATGGAGTGACGGGGATTATGAGGAAAAAGATTATTAAGGAGAGAGTCCAATAAAAAAAAACGTTTCGGCCATTCAGTATCTGTCTATATTTCTGGGATGAGGTATTATGTACACTATTTATATTATTCGGACTATTGTCCTCATCCTTCTCGCCATATTTATCACAACGTTTCATCCTTTCAGTATTTGTATATACTTCTGAGATGAGGTATTATGTACACTATTTACATTATTCGGACTATTGTCCTCATCTTTGTTGGCATATTTATCACAACGTTTCGGTCTTTCAGTATCTGTCTATATTTCTGAGATGAGGTATTATGTACACTATTTACATTATTTGGACTATTGTCCTCATCTTTGTCACCATATTTATTACAACGTTTCGTTTAGAACGTTTCCTCAAGGATACATGGCACAGTGGATAAAGGCGTTAGTTAGATCCAGTGAGAGGACCCAAAAGAGTTTGAGTTCAATACCTGGTTAAGGCGGTGGAGAAATTGGAGAGGGGATAATTGATAACTGACATCCATTAGACATGGCACATGGAACTAGAACAGTCTACCCCAGTGAGCGAAATAAAGAGTTCATAAAGGCCGGAGCGTACAACGGCTGAAACGTTGTAATAAATATAGCGAAAAAGATGAGGACAATAGTCCGAATAATGTAAATATGGAACTTACAGTTACATCCGGCCAATTTAACTTTAAATTGATGTGACCTAGCTGCCAATCTAGTACTGCGCTTAAAATCATAAAGTATTTCTGATTTATATTAATGATCTGCCTAAGAACATGATTATATTGTTAATAGATATCTATGTAGGATATTTATACGTAGGACAACAAAATGCTAGAAAAGTATTTGTACGCGTGGAACAGATGATTCAAAAACAAAAAGGCAAATGAGTCTTACATTACTTTGTACAATGATAATGTGCGAACCTATTTACGCACGAACATATACACACAAACACAAAAATCACATGTACAATGCCAAACGATCATTGGCTAATAAATCACTAATACATTTTCTACAGGCAATTTACAAATCGCAGTAATGCGACAATTTTGGAATCGCTTTATTTTTTAAGTAGTCAAATGTGTGCACTTTTGGGAGAAGTAGCTCACACAAGCTTCCTTAAATCTCCCCAAAGCTGGCTCGTTAATTGGTTGATGGCAACCAATCACATCGTTTGTACTTGAAGAATATTTTTCCCGCGCAACGAATCGGAGCCTATAGTCGCTTATTTAAGTCAAGATCATCTCAATTAGTGAGACCACACCTGCTAAACGAATCTTCGACAGTTGGAACTCCAGTTCTAACCAAGCGCCAACCTTCTCACTCACACGCACATGCATGCTAATGATAAATTGTACGCCTTCACTAAAAACTTCTTTTGACACAACAATACTTTTCAACAGTAACATCACAAGAACAATCATATCATGAAACACTCATGAACATTTATCCAGTGAACATTAAACCAAATAATTATCTCTCACTGAGCTCTTAAATTGCAGTCAAAGAGAGGCAACTCTTGATTATTTCAACCTTTCTTACTTAAATGCTTTCACATCGTTGTTTAATATTGTACATCTTGTTAATATACATATATTTTATGTGCAACAATGTCTTGTGGTTATTATTCTTGCGTGAGTCCTGTTTTCATATCAAAGTTATATTAATGTGGTGAAATTCCCCACAATAACATTCCATTATTACGAAAGCCTGTCTCCTCGATCCTACGCTCTTTCTGATTTATATTAATGATCTGCTTAAGAACATGATAATATATTTAATAAATATCTATGCAGATGTTATAACAGGACACCTGGAAAAATTCTAGCTGACCAAAGCCTGGAAGCTGATTTCTCTTCTGACCGAACTATAACAGCCCAAATTCTGGTTTGTAACATTCAATACTTCTAAAATCAAGCTAGTAACGTTTCATTGCCACTAATCTGACACTAAATGTTCGCTTGGCATTATCAATGGTTGTTCTTTCAAGAAACTAAGCCACGACGGATTACTGGGTGTGAAAGAATTAGAAAAGAGAAAAGATTATGAATGAACAAGCAAGAAAAATAGAAGATTAATCAGGAAGACAGTAGATAACGATTGATATTCCATTTAAATTATTGATGATCAATGTTGGCCAAAAAGCATAAAGCAGGAAGAGAGCTCCACCAGCGAGAAGTGCGAGAAAAGAAACTGTTAGCATAGAACTTAGGGTAGCGTCTAGTCAATTCAACTTTAAATTGATGAGACCTTGTTTGTTATCTATTAATTCATAAAATCTAGATACCATAGCGAAGAACTCAGCCGAATAAATACCATGGAAATATTTATAGAAAAATCACATGGAAGGTACATTACGGCAGTGGGAAAGCGAGTGAAGCCGAGATGCCAAGTCAGGACCTATAATATTGCTAATTCTTTTCTGGTAATAGAATGTTATGATGATGTGACCGAGTTACCAGTTTGGTATTGCGCTTAAATTGGTAAATCTCGTTACCAAAGAGGAAAGCTATTCAGAAAAATCATCTATTGAAAAGGTTCGAAGAAGCTATGTTTCGACGGTGCTAAAGTCCCTAAAGCCGACATGCGGACGATAATGGAGATTATATACTCAGAATGTGAAACTGTTATTTACATTGTCTCAAGAAGATTGGAATTTCGAGCCGAACACTTTATTTCGTCCACCAGTGTACTTGTTCTAGTTCCACGTGCCATTCCTCTTACTTATCTCTCTTTAATTCAACTCTCCAGCGCTTTTATCCACTGAGCCAATTCTTCTTTGGCAACAGAAAGTGCATGTAATGAAGGTAAATAGGACTGATAACGATTGACCCTTGACATGAAAAGGTTAAAACTGCGGTGTCAGGGTGGGGGTCATCTTCTCAGGTGATTTGTTCCACAAAGTAACAGGGAAAAGCTACCTTAATAGAACTTTCTCTCTAGATTTGAAATAGGGGGGAAATGCAGGTGATCCGACTCCTTGAAAGTAGTATGGCATGTCCCAGTAATAAGTAACTGAACTGGTGGACCTAAAGAATGGAGGTCACTTGAACATCTGCCAAGAAAATGTAGATAGAGTAGCGATACGCCTGCGCTGTTTCGTGTGTGGGAAAGGTGGTTACAGAGTAGAAGAATGGGTAAGCAATGAAATAGAGGGTAAGGATATTGATTGCAATCCTATTCACCAGAAGGCGGACAAGTTGGCTCATGTGACAGAAGATAGACCAAAGGAAATCGATAGACATATATCATTAACATGGGCATAATCTCCGCTCCGAATTGCACAGACGAACACCATCATTAAAATATCTTTAATTAATCAAATTAAATTCTTCTTCGGAAACTTTCAGTAAAGACTCGGGGGACAGGAAATGAAGGCGTGGACGGACAAAATGGGTCAAGAAATTGCAGAGCAAGAGAAAAAGGATTAGAAATTGACGAGGAGAAGTGAAAGAGAAGAGCACAAAAAGTCAGTCAAGAGTGAAATAATTTAATTAATGAGTTTATTAAAATGTAATTGAATCAAACGAATAAAAAAGCAAACGATTAATCTTTGAAAGTTAATGAAAAGTAATCATATTTTTCATCCTTGTCAATCTCAGTTTGTTTGTTTATCTATCTATCTATCTATCTATCTATCTATCTATCTATCTCAGTCTGTTCATCTATCTATCTATTTAACTATCTCAGTTTGTTCATCTATCAATCTATCTATCTCAGTTTGTTCATATCTATCTAACTATCTCAGTCTGTTCATCTATCTATCGATCTCAGTCTGTTCATATCTATCTATCTATCTATCTATCTATCTATCTGCTTCTGTCCATATCTAACTCTCAATCTATCTATCTATCTATCTATCTATCTATCTATGACAGTCATCTATCTATCTATCTATCTATCTATCTATCTATCTATCTATCTATCTATCTTCTTCTGTCCATATCTAACTCTAAATCTTTTCATCTATCTATCTATCTATCTATCTATCTATCTATCTATCTATCTATCTATTCACGTCTCTATCTCGGTTTTTGTTTTCATCTATCTATAACCGCTATGTTTTGGAGCTGTTATAATTAACAAGTCGTTCTTTTCCGCAGTTAACAACAGACTGAATGTTTTTTGGACATCAGCTTCCTATTTGACCTTATCGGACTGATCAGACTTACTATCGGGAGTAGTAAATGTTTGTGTCATCAGCGAATTGATAAACGGTTATGTCATTACTAACCTTTACATATACATACATATATATATATATATATATATATATAACTGATTATACTAGACATGATGAATTGTGACGAAGATATATATATATATGTGTGTGTGTGTAAAATAGGTTAGTTTATAAAACAAGGACAAACGTATAAAATAATCAGTACGATATCCGTTTAAAGAAAGGTTTTAAGTTCGAAATTTTCAGACACGCCTGTGTCCTTCATCAACGGACCCAGGCCGACAGATGTTTTTGTAGATGGAGTATTTTCTATTGGAAATTCTATGGTTAGCAAAAAACAGTTTTCTCTTTGGTTCCTTTTTATGAAAATAAAATTAAATTTAAAATTTTGATTGGTGTAAAAGCGTTAGGCAGGTCTATTATGACGAGTGTGTATCGTGAGGGGGTGGCGGAGTGAGACGTAGATGAAGAGAGTTATAGGTTGAGGAGGGGAAAAAGATGTCTCGCGTGTCGCAAGTTGTAGCCAAAATTGTCGGACCAAGTTGTCAATTTTAGAAATTACGAGCTGTATTTAGAATATAAAGCGACGCAAACAAAAAAAATGAGGAAGAAAAAATGGAATATATATTAATAAAATTTTATTAAATAAAATGAAATGAAAAGACAAAAAGTGAAAGAACAAAAAAAAAATGGATAAATATTTGGATAAAAATTTTGGAAATCTATTTTTAACAAAAAAGTGGGTATAAAAAATAAAAAAAATAAAAATGAAAAACCTGAGAGGAAATGCGTGTACATTTATAGATGCACATGTGTACATAAGTGCAGATAACAGTGTGTAAATATACACAAGCCACTCGACAAATATGAATCTCAATACACGTAAAGATATAAATAGATACACAGGATTTATATGTATCTATACTAACCTTCCCCACTCTTTACATAAGCTTATATGTCAAGGAACCATAGTGATAGAATCAATGATAGTATAAAAGGCAACTGGAATGTAGCCCTCAGTGTACACGGCAATATGTCTGTTCATATTTATCAATCAGCCAATGCTTAAATCAATCAGCTTATCGCTCTAAGTCTGTTGAAATCTATCTCTCTACCACTTTCACATCTCTGTATCTATCTTGTATGTGTTTGGAAATAGAAAAATAATGTCTATTTTCGTATGACATTGAACTTAAAAAAGGTCAACACTGCGTGCGGATGTTTCCTCATTTTGTTTTCTTCTTATTGTTCTGAAGTAAGAAGAAATACGTGTTTATTTTCATCGATTTCACATGCATAGAACTGTTTTCTTTTTTCACTTTAAGAACTGCATGAATGAAACTTTTTTTTTTCCTGTTTTTGGTCGTCATTTTGACTAATCTTATCACTTATATGACACGAACTTAGGTTCTTGGTGATTCTCTTCAAACTCTTGGCTCCACCAACGATCTTCTGCCAGTTGCTTGTAGACAAAACGAAATTTCAGTCTATTCAAACGACGAAGAATAAAACTGATATTTCGACCACCGCATCGCATCCCGTCGAAGTATATTCTATTTTCACGGACACAGAACTCTAAAATTACAGAGAAATTATAATTTAGAGATTTATATTTATATTAAAGACGGTTTTGAATCATACAAACTTTATAACTTCAGCATTTGTTTTTTAGTTTGCACCGTTGTGCTTTTGCTGTGTTTTTATAAACATTTTTTGCACATATTATTCACTTAGGAAATTTCATTTCTTTTTATATCAGCTTCATTAAGGCCCAGCAGGAATTCGGATAAATTTGTGAGTTCATACTCATTTCATATTTCAGGAAAAATAAATGAATGAACATACATTTTATTAATAGTTTGTTTAAGCGCAGTACTAGATTGGCAGTAAGGTCTCATCATTTTACTGTTTAAATGGCTAGATGTAACCCTAAGTTCTATGCTAACAGCCACAGAGGAGTCAGCATCAATAGTCAGCGACAGACTGGTCTCGGATACATCACGAGAAAATCGGACCAGTATACCAATATATAATCTGATGGAGATGCTATTTTTCTGTACACAAACAAGACACTTCGGAATGACATCAGATATATAGCGACAGGATGAAGGCTTAACAATGGGTTCGCCATTATCACCAGCAATGACAAACATATACATGGAATACTTCGAAGAAATGGCATTAGAATCCACATCACTAAATCCAACCGTATGGCTGAGATAGATAAATGACACCTTCGTACTCTGGACACATCAAGAAGAGGCCCACTTCTGGATTACATGAATTCAATAAGATCATCGATACAGTTTACAATGGAGCGTGAAAACGACAAAAAACTCGCCTTCTTAAATGTACAAATATCTCGAGAAAAAAACAGGGACTCAATACATCGGTATACCGCAATCCAACATTCATTGGAGAGTACCTCAACTTCAACTCTTACCACTCATACAGTGTAAAGAAAAGGATCGTCTGCTGATTAAAGCATCGAGCAAAAGTCAAGTGGTGACCCAAAAACATATGAACAAGAATTGGACAGTATAAGTAGTACCCTACAACGAAACGCCTACCCTGCGTACATGGCGGCAGCAGCTTCGACAAACTGAATAGAAGGGTACAAGAGGATAACAGCATTCGGAAAACAACTTCGGTAGCCAATCCCATGTGAAGGGATTATCGGCAAAAATACAAAAGATCTGTTGTCCATATAACATTAGTCGGTTTGAGACTTTGCAGACACCTCTTCCGAGTAGGACCCACCCATAGAAAAGGACATGACTAAAGTCTGTGTGTATGCCTTCCCGTAAGAGCTTTGGTAAGAAATACAAAAGAGAAACAGGCCACCTCCTTAAGGTAAGACTGCAAGAACATCGTAAAATTGTAACACGAGGCGAAATAGAAAAATCAGACGCAGCTGACCACATATAGAGGAAGTAGAGAGAGCTCACCAGCCTCTGTGGGATGAGGTTGAAATAATAGACAAAGACTATCACTGAAAAATACGAAAACTTAAGGAATCAGCACATATGCTAGGCCCCAAAATCTCCTGAGCCGAGCAAGCATAGAAATGAATACAATATGGGAACCAGTAATAAAGAGTGCTAGAGAAATGTAAAAATAACAACAAAATTACAATATGAGCTCTTGTAAAAAAAGAAAAGAAAAGATTACTGAGAAATTAAGTTTATAAGTCCCAAATATTCATATACTGATGTCTTCAAAGATACATGGCTCAGTGGATAAAAACTTTTGTTTGGGTCCACTAACTTAAAGAGTTTTGAGTTCGACACTACGACAGTGGTGAACAAAAACTTGAAGTGTTGAGTTCAAGGAAGACAACTGAGGCATCCGGAAGAGGCATGTCACGTGGAACTAGAACAATCTACCCCGGTGGACGAAATAAAGGGTTCGGTTAGAAAATTCCAATCATCCTGAAATATGACAGCAGCCCGAACAATGTAAATATAATTTCCAGAATCTTGTATACGATCTTTACGATCTATTACCAGAGAAGAATTAGCAATATTATAGGTCCTGAGCTGGCATCTCGGCTTCACTCGCTTTCCCACTGCCGTAATGTACCTTCCCTGTGCATTTTCTATAAATACTTTATTTTATTCGGATGAGCTCTTCGCTATGGTATCTAGACTTTATGAATTAATTGATTTCCAACAAGGTCTCATCAATTTAGAGTTGAATTGACTAGACGCTACCGTAAGTTCTATGCTAACAGTTTCTTTTCTCGCACTTCTCGCTTGTGGAGCTCTCTTTCTGCTCTATGCTTTTCGGCCAACATTGATCATCAATAATTTAAATGCAATGTCAATCGTTATCTACTGATTAATCTTCTATTGTTTTCGCTTGTTCATTCATAATCTTTTCTCTTTTCAATTCTTTCACACCCAGTAATCCGTCGTGGCTTAGTTCCTTGAGAGAACAACCACTGATAATGCCAGGCGAACATTTAGTGTCAGATTAGTGGCAATGAAACGTTACTAGCTTGATTTTAGAAGTATTGAATGTTACAAACCAGAATTTGGGCTGTTATAGTTCGGTCAGAAGAGAAATCAGCTTCCAGGCTTTGGTCAGCTAGAATTTTTCCAGGTGTCCTGTTATAACATCTGCATAGATATTTATTAACAATATGATCATTTTCTTTAATATAAATCTGAAATACTTTATGAATTTAAGCGCAGTACTAGATTGGCAGCTAGGTCACATCAATTTAAAGTTGAATTGGCCAGATATAACCGTAAGTACCATATTTACATTATTCGGACTATTGTCCTCATCTTTGTCGCCATATTTGTTACAACGTTTCGGCCGTTGTACGCTCTGGCCTTATTCAGGTGGTTGGAATCTCGAACTGAACCCTTTATATCGCTCACTGGAGTAGGCTGTTCTAGTTCCATACGCCATGTTTGATGGATGTCAGGCATCCTTTATAATCTGTTAATTACCCTCTCCAAGTTCTCCACCGCCTTCAACAGGTATTGAACTCACACACTTTTGAGTCCTGTCACTGGATCTAACTAACGCCATGTGTCCTTGAGGAAACGTTCTAACAAATATGGAGACAAAGATGAGGACAATGGTCAAAATAATATAAATAGTGTACATAATACCTCATCTCATAAATATAGCAGCATGGCCCGGCGTTGCCCGTGCTTGATTCAAAAATCGTGCGACACATACAGCAATCGCTATCACTTGACTTAAAATATTTTTGCTCTTCCTTGCCTTTAAAGGAGTGCCCTTTGCCGTGCTGATGTTGCTACATGCCTTACTTCTTGCCTATCTCACACTGCGAATTTTTTCTAAGCTCTATACTAAACATTAACATCTGTTACGAAAAAAGAACTAAACAACGACCAGCTTTAAAAAAGGAATCGTAACTGGAAAAACCGAATGAAAAAGAATGTTAACAACAAATACTTTTTCACACCCAACCCAATTCTGCGGAATCAGAATCAACGTTGAGTTTAAGCAAGCGAATGAGCCAATTGGAGTAAAGTGCTATGTAGATTTAAATTTTTCCCACTTGTGACGAATGCAGCTATCGATTTTTTTTGCATGCTAGTTAACATTCGTGTCAGTCAGCTGTTGGCTCTCACGCTGGCCAATAGAATCTTCCTGTCTATTCGTGGCAGCCAGCTATTTTGCTCTCACACTGGCCAGTACAAAATGGCCACAAACTACATGAAAACTGCAGTAGAAGCATGAAAAAATCGATTATTTCCACTATCGATGGGAGTTGGGAAATGCAAAGTCTGTCATGCCCTTCCAGCTAACTTGGAGCATGTGCATGGAAATGTTGGTGCAAATCCGTCGAAAATTGCGGCCGTGCATTCACACACACACACACACACACACACACACACACACACACACACACACACACACACATCCTTCCTTTTATAGATACAGATACGTAAGTTCCAGGCTAAAAAATTCTTCTATCACATTTCTCGCTTGTGGAACTTCCTTCCGAGTTAAATTTGGTTTTCAAAACTTTAATAGCAATGTCAATCCTTATCAACTGTCTTCTTAATTTTTGTTCTTTTATTGGACTCTCTCCTTAATAATCTGTTTCCTCATAGTCCCCGTCACTCCATTTGACCATTTGAATCTTAGTGGCAGTATTGCCTAGCTTGGGGTGAAATTATTAAAATATAAATGAAATTTTAAAACTGTTTTTGATGAATATTTAGAAAGCTTTTGCTGAAAGTCAGCATTTAAAGGGTTAGCATTTGTTTGATTCAAACGCTACCCAGCTGAGGCTGATTGGAAAAATGCAACTATCTCAACCACAACGTAGACCTCACAGAAAAGCATTATGAACACTTCTACTTATAATCAGAAGAAACCCGTTGAAATGTGTGGAAAACATTATGAGGAATGACGACTTGGAGAAATTGACACACTCAGGATAATCTCAGAGGAAAGCAGCGCGTAACCTCGCTAATGATTTTGTGTAGATGATTGGCAGAAAAAGGGTTGCTACTGACGACAGGAAAACAAACACGATCCATCGCGAAAGTTGATAAGAAAATGGCCAGTTCTGTGTACCGCTCCAGTAAACACCTGACCCCACTGCTATCCCCTACCTTCGCCAGGGCCAGAACAGACTGAAAATGGAAGAGTGCTGCCATATTCGAATAGGGGTTGCCAAATCTTCACCTTCAAGTCTCGACAGAGCCCAGAAGAATCTATGCAGACTGGTGGGTAGTCTTCCACCTCTTTGCACAGATGAAACGTTACAAGCCTCTTATTACCCTATAGCCATTTGCATAGAAAGTGTCCAGACGAAATATATTCCTAGTTCTAACGTTTACAAGTAAGACCCACCATACTACACCCAACGTGGGTTATAGCGAATCACCCACATGCCCTTGGTATTCCATTGGCGAGATGTAAAGTCCACTTGAACAGCTTCTTCCCAAAAATTGTTGCTTTCTGGGGGATTCTTCCCCGAACAATAACCTGTTCAAGTCTAGAGTTAAACATTATCTTCCCCATATATCCTTATGAACTGCGCCTCTTTCCTCTTATTCTGCAACGCTCTAACCCGAGTGGCTCTTGGGGCTTGTACCAATAGTTCTACAAAGGACTATGAAGAGTATTAATCGACTCCGTCCTGAAAGAACATGTCACATAAATGAAAAAGAAGGAAAAGAAGAATTTGTAGATTTTAGATTAAGTTGTATTTTTAAAATTTTATTCTTTTTCTGTTTCGCGTCCCTTCATGCAGGTGATCATGGCTCTCTACGATTTCCTGTCTTTAGTCGATCTTAATAATTTGTCTTTATTTCTTCTAAGCATTGTTCCATAAACTTGATAATTTGATTTTTTTGTTATCTCTCCTAAACCTTGTTCTGCCATCCATTTACTCAAGCTCGTTAGGTGGGTTATGCGTTGTTTTCCTCTGTCCCTCTTCTCTTCAATCTGTCCTGTGAGTATCAACTTTTCCAAGCCCTCTTTCCTCATTATGTGCCCTTGAAATTTCAACCGTATCTTCCCGTCCAATATAGCCCTTAATAAATTTGATCTTTTTGTTATCTCTCCTAAACCTTGTTCCGCCATCCATTTACTCAAGCTCGCTAGGTGGGTTATGCGTTGTTTTCCTCTGTCCATCTTGTCTTCAATCTGTCCTGTGAGTATCAAATTTCTTCTTTACTAGTCTTTTTTTTCTTTTTCAATATTTCCTTTCTTTGTTGCAATCTTTCCTTTCTTTTTCCTTTACCAATCTTTTCTTTCTTTCTTTTTCAATATTGTCTTTCTTTCTTTTCTTATTTTTTCTTTCTTTTCTTTCTTTCTTTCCTATCTTTTTCTTTACCAATCTTTCCTTTCTTTCTATTTCGATATTTTCTTTCTTTCTCTTTTTCATTCACCTTTCTTTCCTTCCTTTTGTATATTTTCTTTTTCTTTCTTTTTTCTTTCTTTCTTTCTTTCTTTCTTTTATTTCCTTGCTTTCATTATTTCTATCCTTTTTCATATCTTTCTTCTTTTTCCTTTTTGTTTCTTTATTTCTTTTTTCTTTCATGTTTTGTTTTCTTCTTTTCTTTCTATCTTCAATTTTTTTCCTTCTTGGTCTATTCTCTTATTCACTTGACTTTTTCGGCACGTTCAAAGTTCCAACCATAATCTATTTCGCGAACTTGACTTTAATGACCATTTTTGCTTTGCTTAGAAGCACAAAACACCACTGAATCCTGCTTTGAAATCGACAAATTAAACCATCTTATTGAATTAATCTTCCACTAAGAAAAAATAAAAGCGACCTCAAATATATCCTGGCAATCGTGTTATGAGAGTTGTCGACTAAATCTGTTGTCAAAAAAGACAAACCAATTCCTTATTGTTCTTTCATAGAAAAATCAAAGGCGGATTTTAAAAGCTGAATAGTATTTTTTGGCTATTCACATTATTTACATTATTCGAAATGTTATCCTCATCTTCATTGACATATTAACAAAGTTTCGGCTGTTGTACGCACGGCCTTCTTCAGGTGATTGGAATTTCGAACCGAACTTTTTATTTCTACCGCAGTAGACTGTTCTAGTTCCACGTGCCATGCCTTCAATATCTGTCTATATCTTGGTGATGAGATATTATGATTATTTACATTATTAGGCCTGTTATCCACATTTTCATTGTCATATTCACAACGTTTCGGCCGTTGTGCGCTCCGGCATTCTTCAAGTGGTTGGAATTTGGAATCGAACGCTTCATTTCATCCACCGGTGTAGATTGTTCTATTTCCACCTGCCGTGCCTCTTTATCTTTATCCACTAGGCCACTGTAGCCCAATCACATGAAGAACGGATAAACGACGTCGAGTCTCATTTTTTTATGTTGTTTCTTTGTTTGGGTAGAAATTCGTTTTTATTTCTTTTAATATTTTTTCTTTCTTCATTCATAAAGGAAAGAAGAAAATAAAATTTTGGGAGAAATAAAAAAAAGAAAATGTTATGTTTTTTTAACTTTCATCCTTTTCGCTTTTTCATTCATTTACATATTTTTTTTATTTTTCTTTCCTTCTTTTTTCTTTCAACATTTTCCATTTTTCATTCCATTAGATATTTTTCTTTTTCTTTCCTTTATCTTTCTTTCAACGTTTACTTTTTCATTCCATTATATTATTTTTTTTTAATTTTTTTATTACATTTTCCATTTCTCATTCCTTTTTATATTTTTCTCTTTTTCCTTCCTTCTTTCTTTCAATATTTTTCTTTCTTTATTCATAAAGGAAAGAAGAAAATAAAATATTGGAAGAAATAAAAAAGAAAATGATATATTTTTTTTAACTTTCTTTCACTTTTTTCCCCTTTTCATTCATTTACATATTTTTATTTTTATTTCCTTCTTTCTTTCTTTCAACATTTTCCATTTTTCATTCCTTTTTATATTTGTCTGTTTTTCCTTCTTTTTTTCCTTCAATATTTTTCTTTTTTCATTCATTTTTCGTATTTTCTTTTTCTTTCCTTTTTTCTTTTATTTATCTTTCTTTCAACATTTACTTTTTCATTCCATTATATAATTTTCTTTTTCTTTCTTTTTTATTACATTTTCCATTTCTCATTCTTTTTTATATTTTTCTCTTTTTCTTTCTTTCTTTCAATAGTTTTCTTTTTCATTCCTTTAAATATTTTTCTCTTTCTTTCGTTCTTTCTTTCTTTCAACAATTTCCTTTTTCATTCATTTATGTATCTTTCTGTTTCTTTCTTTATTTCTTTTTTCTTTCTTCAATATGTTCTTCTTTTTTTCGTTCCACGCACTTATTCCCCTTTCTTTTTATTTTTTATTATTTCTTAGATCTTATTAGTAATACAGAATTTAATCAATGCAATATAAACATACATAATTAATAAGGACTGAAGGAAAATTGCAACTACAGTAAGGGGAAAATGTACAAGGTAATGCACACGCATCAATAATATATTGACACTATTGACATATAACACTAAGTCCTACCAGCCCATCCTTTCATCAAATTCAGTTGCAACCTTTTCAAAAGGCACGTTAAGTTTAAGTTTAAGGCTGTATGAATATTGTCCTACTGGACAATATCCTAGTGGATAAATTGTAAATTCGCTGACATAATGGTAGCGAGTTCAGTCCTTAGATCGGTCAGTGTGTACTGTACTTACCCTCAGTGAAGACGGACGAGCAATAACTGAACTACTAAATAAAATAAAAACTAGACGAGATATCACGAGACATGAGCAGTAGAATGAGAACAGTCTACCCAAGTAAATTAAATAAAGGGTTCTGTTCAGAATTCCCTGTAAGTTACCCAGATCGACGTACACCTGAGGAAGGCCGGAAGGCACAACGGCCGAAACGTTGTGATAACAACAACAAAAATGAGGATTATAAATAACACTAAGTCCTAACAACCAATGGGTCCGAATAGAAATAGTGTAAAAAATATTAATAAGACGTTTTAAGATTGCGGACTCAGATGTGACGAAACATGTAATATTTTAGTCGAATTATGACTGGTGAGGAGCCGTCATCGGTTAGAACGGGGGTGAACATTTTCGTTTTCGGCGAGGGTCACGTGTATTGCCTGGAAGGTATCGAAAAATACATGAATAATGAAAATAAAATAATTTTAGATCTGTCCATATTTCTGAGATTAGCTGTTTTATCTATTTACACTATTTACAGTCTTTTTTCCTCATCTTTATTGTCATATTCACGACGTTTCGGCCGCTGTACGCTCCGGCCATCTTCAACATCTGTCTATGTTTCTGAGATGAGTTATTGTAATTATTTACACTATTTACACTGTACAGACTGTTGTCCTTATCTTTATTGTCATATTCACAACGTTTCGGTCGTTGTACGCTGTCTTTCTTCAGGTTCTGTTTATATTTCTGAGATGAAGTATTGTATCTATTTACACTATTCACAGACTGTTTTCATCTTTAGTGTCATATTCACGACGTTTCATCTGCTGTAGGCTCCGGCCTTCTTCAGGTGATATATGTTGGAATTTTGAACCTAACCCTTTATTTCGACCACTGGGCTAGATTGTTCTAGTTCCGCATGCCATGCCTTTTCTGCATATCTCAGTTTCAGTTAATTTCCTTTAGTAAATAAAGTTTTTCTTCATATCTGCTGTTATCCACTGGGCCGTATGTCCTCGGGGATAAAAGCGTTGGTAGAAGTATACCAGTGGCTTGACCCGAAGAGTTGTGAGTTCAATACCTGACCACAGCAGAGGGGAACAAAAACTTGGAGAGTTGTGTTACGCAAGGGAAATAACTGAAAACTGAGATACCCCCCCACAAAAAAAAGCATGCTCCACCCTGGACTAGAACAATGTACCCAGGTGGAAGAAAATTGCAGCGTATGTCAACTGAAGAAGGCCGATGATTACAACGGCCGAAACATCGTGAATATGACAATAAAGATGAGGACAAGAGTCCGAATAATGTAAATAATATCAGAATTTTAGGATAGATATTTAGTAGTAAGCCAAATTCCAATATTCACCTGTAGTCATTTTATAATTTCAATTCGGGAGCATTCTTATATTTAAAAGAAATACCGTATTTGACGGCATACAAGATGCACAGGTATATAAGACGCACCCCAATTTCAGCAGAGCAAACCAAGTTAAAATTAGTAAACCTATATATGGGATATAAAACGCAGGGGGAATTTAAAAGACATTTCAGGTAAAATAAAGCGTGCTTTATATGCAGTCAATTACGGTAAATAATTGGAAAAAAAAATAAGTAAATAGAGCAATATCCTGTGGTTGCTTATTGCAAAACAAAAAAAAACAAAAAAAACCAAAAAAACAAAAACAAAATGGTTACACTTTATTGTTTGCTGCAATTTTTCATTTTTTTTTGTTTTGTATCTTCTGGGGATTGTCTGCGAGTACGAAGTTGCTCCCACACATTTGTTGATGTTCCACGAATATTCAATGCATTGAATAAATCGCGGTGGAATTTTTATTAATTTCCCTTGGAAATTAACCAAAATGGAAAAGAAGAAAAGAAAATCAATAAACAAACATCGAATAATACACGAAAAAAATATCGTTTTCAAATGCTTTAGTCGACGACACCCGAAACCAAAGTAGGTTGAATACAGTTCTAGAATAAGGATCGATAAAGGACCATGATGGAAATTTTAGGAGAACCTAAACATGGTCTAAATAGTTAGCCAGCTTGTCTCGTTGGGAGCGTTACGACTGAATAGTGAGTTCGATCCTCACTGACTGTTCCGTACTGTCAGCGTTGTGCTACATCTAAGTTACGTATAGAAAATCATTTATCTTTAGAACAATTAAGACTGAATAGTGAATACGATCCTCACTGGGTACCCATACTTTCGGGCTTGTGCTACATCTAATCTGCGCTTAGAAAATCACCACAATGGAAATTTTATGCAAGAAATTAGCACAAATGAATTTACTAAAAAAATGAATGGGCTGGCAAACCAACGGAAAACTTAAAACCTCTCATATCAACAAGCCTTTATCGTTTTCTCTTTTTTACGGTTTATCTACCCCATATTTGTGATTCTAAGATTTTTTTTCTAATGAATATTGCATTAGTATTTTTTTTTTCTTTTCGAATACCAGTGACTTTTTCAGATACAGGTCTTAATATTTATGCCATAGCTGATGGAGGGGGGGGTAGATGAAGGCATTTTCGCCTAAGTGAATGTAAAGAACCTGACTTGAATTCGAACTCGGATCTCCGAGTTCTCATTTAGCGCAGCTTTCTATTACACCACCCTATCAAGAAACTAACAAGTGTTCAATTATTTGCTTAAATAGGCAAACACATCTTCCTTATTTACCTCATTCGGATTATTGTCCTCATCTTTGTCGCCATATTTATTACAATGTTTCAGCCATTGTACGCTCCGGCTTTCTTCAGGTGGTTGGAATGTCGTACTGAACCCTTTATATCGCTCACTGGGGTAGACTGTTTTAGTTCCACGTGCCATGTTTTGATGGATGTCAGTTATCAGTTATCTCCTGTTAATTTCCCTCTGAAAGTTCTCCACTGCTTTAACCGGGTATTGAACTCACACTCAAGGACACATGGCACAGTGGATAAAGGAGTTGGTCAGATCCAGTGACAGGAGCCAAAGAGTATGAGTTCAATACCCGGTTAAGGCAGTGGAGAACTTATAGTTTTTGTGTATATATTAGTAGTATAAAAGTCTCTCTGAGAACAAAGTATGGTTGTCATTCTCTTTCCTTTCAGCCATTTAGATCCGTCCGTGAACTGCGGTGTTATTATATCACGTGTATAATAATGCCCATAACGGGGGAAATTCCAATGGGATAGTGAATCTTTTTTCCATTGTTCTCTCTCTGTATCACTATTTGGGTTGCTAGTAATTAATAATCAAAATGGCGACTTAAAAACGAGATAATAGTGAATAACTTAGCATGAAAAGGGTTAACCAATATTGAAAAAAATAGGCTGATAGTAAGAATTGTTCCCAGAGAATCAATCTATGTACAATGGACCAAATGACCGCTTGAAAGCGATTCTCAGTTTGTGCGAACAAATCAGCTGTTGAGAGCCGGTGACAACCAATGCCTGAACCTGACAAGAGAAGAATTGAGTTAAAGCTAAATGAATTCATTTCGCGAGATATCAGAATGAAAAACAATGAATTAAATTGCTGCTGAGCACTAAAAATTTCCCTGGGAGAGAGCCAAACGTGATGTCAATTCGCTAATAAGAAAAGTACATTTGAAACCATATTTTTTATCAATCTATGACTGAATGTTGGAAGTAACAGGCACAGAAGAGCGATCAAGGAAGGAAGAGGGGTTGCCTGCACCCACTGAAGGGGAGCAGGCACAGAGGCGACATTAAAGATGTTGGAGGAGCTGTTAACGCCCACTGGGGAGCAATAGTAAGAGATAATACTAAGAAAAGGTGGAGGCAGCCGGGCGAAGTGATGTCTGCACCCCGCTCCACGAGAGAGAATTCCCCAAAATTATGAACTAATCTGATTTCTCAAGATCAAAAATAATAGATTTTTGTTGGAAATCAGGGGATTCAATGAAACCCAGCCTACATCTTGCCCCGCACCGGTTTCTAGTTGGAGTCTATAAAAATAAATGCGCGAAAGCCATTCAGGTGGTAGACAGCAGAGTCAGAGTTGCGAGCTGACAGTTGAGAAGGTAAGTCATGGAGGTCACTGAGAGATTGCACACTTTCTGCCAAACACAAGAACCTCCGACTTCAGCATTGAA